CTCCTCCTCCTCCTCCTCCTCCTCCTCCTCCTCCTCCTCCTCCTCCTCCTCCTCCTCCTCCTCCTCCTCCTCCTCCCTGTTCCTCCTCCTTCTCCTCCTCATCCCTCCTAGCCATCGCGCTATTCTCAAACCCGCCGACGCTTGGCCGCGCACCGTTGAGCAGGGACCGACCGTCCCGGCAGTCCTATAGTCCTACCACGAAATGTTCCTAGAACCCAAAAATGTTCTAAGAACACAAACAATGTTCTTAGAACACAAACCCGATGTGCTAAAACAAGACAGTCCCAGCCAGAAATTGTCTAAGAACATGTCGCGCATACCACAAAAGGTTATTGAAACATTGGGGCTATAGGTGAGCCGGGACGGTCCGCCACTGCTTGACACCGCGCTGGCTCGCCGCGAGTGCCTGAAACCGATGGCGACGCAGCAGCGCCAGCTGTGCAACGGCAACGCCCTGGCCGCCGCCCGCGGGGCGGCGCCTGCGGCGCCCTCTTCTGCGGGCCCGGCGCGGGGCGCGGCGGCGGCGCGCCGCCGGCTGCGCAGCGTCGTCGGCCTCTGCCGCGCGGCGGCGGCGGAGCTCGAGGCCGCGCGGCCCCGCCCGCCCCCCGCCATGGCTGGTGGCGCCTCTGAGGTGCCGACTGTTGCGCCCGCGGCGGCCGTGCCGCCTGATGGCGCGGGCCCCGCCGCCGCCGCGCGCTGCGCGGCAGGACCGGGGCCGCAGAGGAGCCTCTGGCGCCGATGGAGGCGATAAAGGGGGAGGTGACGGAGGACGGCGACGTGGAGCTCGCCGGCGACAGCTTGGCGGACGCCGCGCCCGTGGTGGTCTGGGCCGCCCCGCGCGCCCGGTCGGCTGCTTCGGGGCAGTCGGCCGAGCCGCCCGCCGTTCGCCCGCCACCGAGGCGTGGGCGGAGGGAGGCGCTGATCGAGCAGCTGTCGGAGCCGCGCATCGGGCTCGACAGCCATCTCTTGGCGACGGCGCCCGTCGCGCAGCTCGAGGCGGCCTTGGCGGCACTGGGGGCCTCTGGACAAGGAGGGGGCGTGCGTGGGGGGAGGGGGAAGCCGCCTTGCCGCTCTGCGTGCATGGGCGGCCCTCCCCCCTCCTGCACTTGGTGTGGCACGTCGGCATGGACAAGACCGTGTATGGAGTGGTCGGGGGTGCTGCGTCGTCAGGGCCCCCGTGGCGGTGGGCCCTGTCGGCGTGGGGCCCCAGACCACTCTCGGCGCAGGCCGCGGGAGGCTCAGGGCCCCATGTCGGCGCGCGGTCGCGGCCCCGCGGCTCGGCGGAGCAAACCTTCGTCGTCGGCCTCGCACTCTCCTCCTCCTCCTCCTCCTCCTCCTCCTCCTCCTCCTCCTCCTCCTCCTCGTCCTCCTCCTCCTCCTCCGCCTCCGCCTCCGTAGCCATTTTGGCTCAAGGCTCATGCTTTTGCGGGCTGAGCCCGTATTGGCATTCTCGGATACCGCTAGTCCGCGGCAGTGCCAGAGCGCTTGCGCTCGACAGCTTTTCGCCTTCACCGAGGGGTTGGGCTCCCTCATCAGTTTTGTCGCCACGGCCAGGCAGTCCTCAGGGCCGTGGCTCTCGCCGCTTGTCCCTGCGACTTCGACGCCGCCATGGCCCCGACGCGCAAGGAGAATGCTTCGCCATGGTATTGCAAGTGGTGCAGGCATGACGTCACGAATCAGCCGTGGTTCAACGCCTCCACCCTTGTGTACTGCAAGAAGTGCGGCCTGCACAAGAGCAACTGTTTCAAGGAGAACAAAGCAGCGTCGCAGCCCAGCGTCTCGGCCAAGCAGCAGTCGCTCGCGGCCAAGGTCAAGGAGCTCGAGGCGCAGCTCGCCAAGCTCCGCGAGCATCCCCCTGGGCACGGGCCAGCGGCTACGGGTACAGGTGCGAGCCCACCTTGGGCTGCCGCGCCTGGGGATGCCGACACCGTCAAGAGGAACCGAATCAAGATGCTGGATCAGTTGCTTCGGGTCACTACTGACCCTGCTGATGCTGGTATTGTGGCCAAATGGCGTGAGGAGCGAGCTAGGCTGGACGCTGAGCTCTTTCAAGATAGGCCCATTGAGCATCAGGCCAGGTCATTGGCGTCAAGACTGTCCTCCGCTCGTTCGCGACAGGCTACCATCCAGGCCGCTCGCGACGAGCAGCAGAGGAAGATCGACGAGCTCACCCGCGGCCTGGCCGACACTGACTCCAAGTTGCAGGAGGCGGCTGCGGAGGTCCTCCGCCTGGTGCAGCAGACTCGCGCCGCCATGTCGCGAGCCAAGCCACCGACGTTGGCGGACCTGCTGCCCACCTTCGCGGTCAGCGTGGAGCAGCTGGGCAAGGTTGCATCGGGCCTCGGTCTCGGCGCCGACATGGTCAAGGAGCTGCAAGCTATGGCCAACACGGTCAGCAAGCTGCAGAATATGCCGCAGGCCAAGCCGCCTGAACCTGCACCTGCCCATGATGATGAGGATGGTGACGAGTCTTGTGCTGAGCCACCTGACATCGAGATGTCCGAGCAGGAGTACCGTGAGACGCTGGGTGCAGCAGGGGTCCAAGTCGAAGAGAGCGACGCCCCTGACATCGTGCGTGAGAAGTTCAAGCGCCTTCAGCAGAGCTACTTGGACACTGTGGCCAAGAAGGCCAAGACGTCGGCGTGAAATGTGCTCGGCGTGATATGCTGTTGCTTTGGCTCTTTGTCACCATGGTCAGCTCTACATCAGCGCAACATGTCGAGAGTCCGCCTCAGTCATCTTCGACGGCGGCTAGCATTCTGGGCAGGGGGGAGAGGGATTCAGCCCCTCATCGTCACACCCCCCTGCCCACATCGGCGTCTAGTTCCATGACCTCGGCTGGCACTACGGCGCCTACATTATTCCCCCCACTGGCCCGCTCCTCGGGGTGGGCGACAGCTCCGACCCTGACGGCGGCCTCGCCTACTTCGGTTGAGCCTGCAGCTCCGTCTGGGGCGACCACGGCATCACAGAGGGCTACTCCGTCTACGCCTACGCGGTTGGCCCCTGGCAGCACGCACTGCTCACCGACCTCACCTTCGGGGAGTGGCGGCAGGGGGCACCGACCGTCTTCGGACGGCACGCACCGCTCACCGCCCTTGCCCTCGGAGAATCCAGGCGGCAGAGAGTACCGACTGCCAGGGCCCCCCCCGGGCCAGAGCGGCCCAGTGTGTACTACTTTGGATGACGATCATGACTTCTTTGAGGACGTTGAGCCTGACATGGAAGCAGATCTGTGTGAAGGCGCATTTCATGAAGCGCCATCTTCGTCCCCACCTTCTTCCCGATTACGCTTCGAGAAATCAAGTCAAGAACGCGCTGCACCTACCTCGCCTTTGCCGCCAGGGAGCACGGAGGCGAAGGCGCAGCCAATGCATGCAGTATCTCAGCCGCAGCTCAAGGGCCTCATCACAACGGTGAATGCTACGAGCTACGGCCCTCTCTTTGACTTTTTGGCTACCTATCGGGGAACTATCTTGCTGGCACAAGAGTTGAGGATTACCGACTCTAGGCTTGGCGAGTTTCAGGCCAGGGCCTTGGATGCTGGATGGCACGGGCTATGGGCCCCGTCGCCCTCTACGGGTGACTCAGCTACGTCCAACTTCGGAGGGGTCGCTGTACTTGTGCCGACATACATCATGGTCACAGCCCCACCTGATGATGGGCACATTATCTACCCAGGACGAGCAGTCTGTGCACAGATTAACTGGGGAGTGGCTGGCGGCATCATAGTCGCCAGTGTGTATCTTGTCACGTCCATTGGCATATCGGGCGAGAACATTGAGGTGTTGTGGGCCTTGGCACAGAGAGTTGCAGCATGGAACTCACGGGGCCTCGACTGGATCCTAGGTGGCGACTGGAACTCCGACATCGATGCGCTCAATGTTCGCAACTGGGTCGAGACCATGGCAGCCGTCCACTACGTGCCCGACCAGCACACCTGCATCACCGATGAGGGCAAGAGCACCATAGACTATTTCGTCGTCTGTGCCAATTTAGCGTCTCGCATCAAGGGCAAGCCAGAGGTCCAGTATGACTCCACGGTCGTGCCGCCGCCGCATTTCCCTGTGGAGCTGCAGCTCATGGGCGAGGATCGCCCCACGTGGTGCCG